AGGAACCAGAGGCAAAAAAACCCCACCTCCCATGTAGAGTGTTTTCAGATTATTATTAATGATTGTTACAGAATCATCGTGGGTTTAACAATCTCTCTGTATTTCAGCCCTGCCCAGATGTTTACTGGTTTCCAGCTTTCTCAGACAAAATGTGTGACCATATGATAGAAACCATGGAAGACTGTGGCGAGTGGTCTGGTGGAACGCACAAGGTAAACACTTATTCTAACTGTCACACAAGGGCAGAAGTAAGTACTAAGACTTAACAGTTTTGTGTTTTCTGTGTTTCTAGGATGAGCGTCTGGCTGGCGGTTATGAAAATGTCCCAACTGTGGATATCCACATGAACCAGATCAGCTTTGAGAAGGAGTGGCTCAAGTTCCTCAAAGATTATATTTCCCCCGTCACTGAGAAACTCTATCCTGGCTACTACCCCAGGGTACGGTAAAAGCCTAACCCCAGTCTCACGTTCAGACTCCCTACCCCACCAAGGAGTTCAATCCAGAACCTCCCTCACGGGAGAGCCCAGAGCTTACTCCAAAGTATAGTTTACACTCTAACCTAAGGGTTCAATTCAAGACTTTGTGCCAAGGTATTGCTCAGGAGATCCTAATCCCACAGTACAGTTTAGACCCTCTGAGTCCACACTTTAGCCTAAAGTGTAGTTTAGATCCAAATCTTGGTTTTCAGTGTAGAGTCTTTGCCAAAGTACCATCAATACCCTAACTCCCACCTAAATATACAGACCAAACCCTAGGTTTAGATTTGATACCAAGGTACTGTCAAGACCCTTACGCTAAGATACAGACCAGACGTTAACCAGAGGGTCGGGTCCAGACTCAACATTAAGGTTAGAGTCACCCCATGGGTTGAGGTACAGTCCACACAATAACCATAGTGTTCAAGTTCCAGATACGTTTATCATTCAGAGCCTTCCTCTAAGGTAGGGTGCACACCCTGAACACAAGGTGCAGTCCATCAGAATAACTCCATACCGTCTTCAGAGGTTCTCTCAAGACCTTACCCAAAGTTCAGCCCAGAAATATCTCATGATCTCAGACCGATGCTTACCTCGAAATTAATCCCAGATATTGAGCCACTACAAAGGTTTTGACAGTGCAGGCATTACAGAAAAAAAACTCAGTATCTGCCCCAGGGTACGGTCAGGGTACACTGTGCTCTACTGCACTCTCTAGTGCACTCTAAGAGAATACAAATTCACAATGCTAAGGAGCTATACATTAATCATGTTTTTCTTTAGAAAGTTTCTGAGTCAGATTTTTATCTGATGTTGGGAACATTGTTGTGTTTGTGCCGTCTTTTGTTAATCCTCTTAAAAATGATCTGGTACTGTCTACATGCAGGCTCAAGCCATTATGAACTTTGTGGTGCGTTACCGTCCAGATGAGCAACCGTTATTGCGGCCACATCATGACTCCTCCACCTTCACTATCAACATCGCCTTGAACAGGAAGGACATTGACTACGAGGTAACGCAGCCTGCTGATCTAAAGATGAATAAACAAGAAGCCAAAGAACATGCTATCCTGAATAATTTCCCTAAAGCCCTGCCTTTTGTAATGCAACATGTTTACTTGTGTCAGGGTGGAGGTTGCAGGTTCCTGCGGTACGACTGTAAGGTGGAGTCTCCTAGGAAGGGCTGGTCCTTCATGCACCCAGGTCGACTGACACACTACCACGAAGGCCTGCGCGTCACCAAAGGGACCAGATACATCATGGTGTCCTTTGTCGACCCCTAAACGTACAGAGCGTGTGCATAAAAGGCTGCTGGTGTGTCTGTGTGAGCATGAGAAGATTAGCCAACCTCATCATCATATTTGTAATGGAGGAAAAGACGTGATGACCTTGAATGCATCATGTTATTATTTCACTGTGTCCTTATTTCAGGTGTACATAAGATTTGACTTATCATCGTTGACATTTCAGAGTTTTCTGTTTTTTACCTTGTTTTTATTCCTGACACTAGTGAAGCAAATAAAATCGGGAGATTTGTGGTCTTGAAGGCATCGCTGTCGGACATTTCAAAATAAGAGTCTCATGCTTAAATTCAGTTGTCACCGTGCTGCCTTACGTTTAAACGTTAACTAAATCTATGCAAGCAAAACACTCCAAGTTGTGTTTCAACAATCAGCTGTTACACTCCAAACTCTGAAAGATTAATGCCACCTGTTGTGCCAAGTAGAGGGTGTTACCCGTATTAGTGATGTGCTCGAGGGTAAATCCACCTCAAAGACAAGTCGGCTGGATTTGAGCATCAATATTTTAGACGTGCAAATCCTCAATATCAATTAATATGATACAGAGAAGAAAGATGGGTATAAAGATGCTTTAAAGAAAACCGTGTGAATGATGTGCCAAGAAGTCTATATGTTTGGTAAAAGTCTGTAAAAACAAGATTTAAGCAAGTGGAGCTCCACTTTGAGGAGTTTTTAGACTCTTTGTAAACTCTAAAGGCCTTTTATGTATTTGTTTTATTCTTTGTTGTTTATTCTTGTTTTTAAAATTTACATGTCCTCCTTAGGTTTCCATGGGGCAGTCATCATTAGGGTGTGAAGCGCTGCCTCCTCTTGCAGGATTATGTCTTTATTTAAAAAATGCTGTGATGGTTTTTAGTCTGAGGTGCAGTGTTTCCACCCAGCCTCTGGTTTTCTTCTATACGTGCCTGTTTATCAAAAGTCTCTGGCTTTGTAAAAACTGCATTAAATTATTTGTTGATGACTGACTGAATAAAGTTTTGAGATTTTAATAAAAAAAAGACCTGTCACATAGTTTAAGTAGTCCTTTTTTGGGGCTATCAAACTGTCAAGAAAACGACTATGATTTTTACTCAAGAATATTAAAGTAAAAAGATAAATACTAATTTACTTTTGCGAGTTTGTGCTGGTGGTACTAACTGGCAGTACTTGTCTTATTGTAGTACCAGTATTTCCCCCACTCAGTGCACTGTTACTGCACCATCCTATGTTACAAATTGGTATTACAGAAAAGTATGACCTGGCCTGTCTGGAGTCAAAATAAAGAATTTAAATACAGGTGTAGCCAAGGTGACGTTACCTACAGCTTTGAAGCCTTGATTTTAGTGCTTTTGCCACCACTATATTAATTATTTTCTAATTGCATCACACAGAGACATTCTGTTGAGTAGCATCCAAAAAAAAGAAAAACTATTTCACTCACAAACTTGGAGAATAAATTTCTTGGACACTGTCAATTGATTGCATAGGAGCCGTATTATTGGTTAGAAAATTGCACTAAAAGTGGATGCAGTGAAGTCTAACAGACAGCTAACCTTAAAATCCTAACCCCTGAAAGCGTACCTTCACTCAGTGCTGATTGGTGGATCTCTGGTCCACGGAAGCGGCAAAAGAAATCGTTGAAATGGACATTTTAATTGAAGACAGCATTTTGATTCAAAGGATTGCACACAGTACATTTACCCCAGTATTTTAAACCCTGACGTCTAATATGAATAATACAACTTTTAAAGATCACATACAGGGAGTGCAGAATTATTAGGCAAAAGAGTATTTTGTCCACATCATCCTCTTCATGCATGTTGTCTTACTCCAAGCTGTATAGGCTTGAAAGCCTACTACCAATTAAGCATATTAGGTGATGTGCATCTCTGTAATGAGAAGGGGTGTGGTCTAATGACATCAACACCCTATATCAGGTGTGCATAATTATTAGGCAACTTCCTTTCCTTTGGCAAAATGGGTCAAAAGAAGGACTTGACAGGCTCAGAAAAGTCAAAAATAGTGAGATATCTTGCAGAGGGATGCAGCAGTCTCAAAATTGCAAAGCTTCTGAAGCGTGATCATCGAACAATCAAGCGTTTCATTCAAAATAGTCAACAGGGTCGCAAGAAGCGTGTGGAAAAACCAAGGCGCAAAATAACTGCCCATGAACTGAGAAAAGTCAAGCGTGCAGCTGCCAAGATGCCACTTGCCACCAGTTTGGCCATATTTCAGAGCTGCAACATCACTGGAGTGCCCAAAAGCACAAGGTGTGCAATACTCAGAGACATGGCCAAGGTAAGAAAGGCTGAAAGACGACCACCACCGAACAAGACACACAAGCTGAAACGTCAAGACTGGGCCAAGAAATATCTGAAGACTGATTTTTCTAAGGTTTTATGGACTGATGAAATGAGTGAGTCTTGATGGGCCAGATGGATGGGCCCATGGCTGGATTGGTAAAGGGCAGAGAGCTCCAGTCCGACTCAGACGCCAGCAAGGTGGAGGTGGAGTACTGGTTTGGGCTGGTATCATCAAAGATGAGCTTGTGGGGCCTTTTCGGGTTGAGGATGGAGTCAAGCTCAACTCCCAGTCCTACTGCCAGTTTCTGGAAGACACCTTCTTCAAGCAGTGGTACAGGAAGAAGTCTGCGTCCTTCAAGAAAAACATGATTTTCATGCAGGACAATGCTCCATCACACGCGTCCAAGTACTCCACAGCGTGGCTGGCAAGAAAGGGTATAAAAGAAGAAAAACTAATGACATGGCCTCCTTGTTCACCTGATCTGAACCCCATTGAGAACCTGTGGTCCATCATCAAATGTGAGATTTACAAGGAAGGAAAACAGTACACCTCTCTGAACAGTGTCTGGGAGGCTGTGGTTGCTGCTCCACGCAATGTTGATGGTGAACAGATCAAAACACTGACAGAATCCATGGATGGCAGGCTTTTGAGTGTCCTTGCAAAGAAAGGTGGCTATATTGGTCGCTGATTTGTTTTTGAATGTCAGAAACGTATATTTGTGAATGTGGAGATGTTATATTGGTTTCACTGGTAAAAATAAATAATTGAAATGGGTGTATATTTGTTTTTTGTTAAGTTGCCTAATAATTATGCACAGTAATAGTCACCTGCACCCACAGATATCCCCCTAAAATAGCTAAAACTAACAACAAACTAAAAACTACTTCCAAAAACATTCAGCTTTGATGTTAATGAGTTTTTTGGGTTCATTTAGAACATGGTTGTTGTTCAATAATAAAATTATTCCTCAAAAATACAACTTGCCTAATAATTCTGCACTCCCTGAATATGTGACAGCAAGTGGAATCCTAATCTACCAATCAGTATTGGGAAAAAACTGGTCAAGAGAGAAAAAGTTCAAGAACTGCTCTTTAGACGCTCCCGGCTGAGCTATATCCACAGCAATAGCTACGCAAGTACCCTAATTATTCAATTCAACACTTACCTCTTGGATATCAGCTTTCACTCCTTATACCTTTGAGCTTTAGTATTCAGAACTCTGAAGTGGTGAGACAAGATACCCTAGCAACAACAAAGTCATGGCTTGAAGTCCACACTCCAGCCTGCATGACCAGACATCTGGTTAAATTAATTATTTTTTTCTTTCTCTAAAAATGAACTGAACATTTTTAATTGATGAACAAATATAAATCTGCAGAGCCTTGTTCTGTACTTTATTTCAGGGTCTTCTACATGGTTCAGGAGCTGGTGATGAGTTTTTACACTTTCAGCATTCATAACATTTAGCTTGTGACACTGTATTTACATAATTAATACGGAGAATTAGAGTTCATAGTCTGGTTGACACGTTGCTCATAAAGTCAGCGAGAAACCCTCGGATTGGCCGGTTTGGTGGGTGTAGTGGAGTCAGACGCCTGAAAAGAAAAATTAAAGAATTTAATTCAGATCATTTAATTCCTTTAAATGTATCCTTTCCTAACTTTGTCTCAGAAAACCGACACATCCCTGGTTGCTTTAGGAAGTCACTCTTTGGATGGCCCCAGTGCTGAACCATATCTGCAGGTTTACAAGTAGCACATGCCGCCATCCAGACGACACCTTTCTTACTCCAGCAAGACGATGCTAAATCAAATTCTAGTAATGAGTAAAGCTGTTAAACTGGCCTGTCTGTAGTCCAGAACCGTCAGCCACTAGAAGCATCTCAAACTCTATGAAATCAAAGTAGGACTATATGGAGCAACTGAAATACATCAGTGGAAAGATTTGCCTTTCAAAGGATTACAGGTGATCAGACATTTTTTAAACATAAACAAAATTTCTCAGTGTCATCGTTTCACACATTGTTTATGAATGTTATAAAATAAATGGATAAAATAAATGAAGGCTTTAAAATGTTTCTGAATCTTTACATCATGGCTGCTGTGTTGTAAGGTTTTAATAAAGTTAGTTTGTAGTCTTAATGAAAAGAAGGAAAGCTGGAGAGCCAGACGGAGAAACGTTGTTTCTGCTCACCTGTCTTGATGCTCTTCCTCGCCCTGAGAAAACGGTGGTCATTCCCTTTTGCGCGGGGACGTGTCGGAGGGAGCGGTTTTTGGATTCCTTCAGTTCAGAAAGGAGCTCGGGGCTGGACAGTGACAGACGAGCTGAACAAAGACAATAATTTTAGTTTTCATATGGGTCCAACCAAATCTCTAAAACACAAAATGCCACACCCAAGAGTGGAGCCTGTTTGTTTTACATCAGCACAATAAACCAGTAACAGCTCGTCAAAGTCTCTCAGAGATATGTTTTCTATTAATGGGTCCTCTCCACCAGGGCGAGCTAGTCACTTCACATAGGTTAGGACAGTACTTCCAGCCGGCTCACCTTGTCTGTCCTTGAAGCCAGGGGATGGCGAGGTGGATGAAGAACTGGAGGGGGAGGAGGAAGGAGTGAGGCTGAAGGGGGAGGCCACAGGGGAGGTGGTGGAGGAAACCCCGCTGGATTCACTGTCGTCGCTGTGAGGCTTAAATTTGTTCCGACACTCTGGAAAGACAAAGATAAGAAGACATTTGTGGCTGTTTGTGCTTGAGATTTGGGGTTTTGCAATTCTTCTGTGGTAGTTTGATACAGAAACCCAGGACCACCCGGGCCCCTCAGGGCCCTGTTTCAGGTTCTGTTCAGTTATCCATCAACACAAAATTGAGCCTTAGAAAAAGGTTACCTCTTAGAAACTCTGCTTGCAGCTCAGGACTTCTGAGAGACAGAGTAAAAGGAGGAGGAGGGGGAGAGGATGAAGAGGAGTTCAGCTGGGTTTGTTTCCCAGCTCTGATCGAGGTAGATGTTGATGCCGGTGATGATGATGATGATGATGATGGAGGAGGTGGTGCTGAAGAATTCATGATGAACACCTGCAGTGAGACAAGCTTTAGTGAAGTTTTAATATATACATTTACTTATAAACAACATTTCACAGTTTTTCAATTTAACTAAATTTTGTTTATATAACATCACCTCAAGGTGCTTTATATTGTAGGGTAAAGACCCCAACAATAGCACAGTGGCACACTGAGAAAAAAACTCCCTTTTAACAGGAAGAAACCTCTGATAGAACCTGGCTTTTCTCAAATCTTTGACAAGAAACGACGGCCTGGATACCAATCCACAATGTTCAGGTGAGGATGAGTCCAGGTGAGATTGTTTCTTGGGTTTTGAATTAAAAACATTTAGCACAGTGATGTGGGAAGCACACCTGCAGGGCTCGATGAAAGTTTCATTTTGCCTGTCAGATCAGTGATACTCAACAGGGTTTTGAAAACAATCCAGATTTAAAGAACAAGAAAAATCAGTAACAGAGTGAGCAGATGAAGGCACAGCATTTTTGCCAACATTTTATTTTACTTTATTTACCAAATAAATACAATTTATTTTTTAATAATAAAAGTAAGAAATGTTAGAGAATACCTGTTAAAGAACACGTGTAAGTATGAAAAAGCAGGAGATACCTGTCTGCTTATTTTTATTAAAAGGACATTAAGATTTCTTTTACTGAACAATATAATACTGATAAAATATGCGGACTCCCTTTTCTCATTCCTTCACATGATGCACTTTTCATTCGGTGGTTTGGACCTTCTAACTGCAGACGAGCTTCATTTATCCAAAAGAAATGACTCTTTGAATGCCTGTCTTTTCATTAAAATCTCTAACAAACATTTCTGCATCCAATACTGACTCTAACTTAACATTAAACAAATCCGATAAAGTTCAGTGGCATGCTGGATGATAATATGCTGACTGAATAACTGTTTAGGAAGGGTAAGCTCTATATTAAAAGACAGACACAGACAAAAGTTGTGAAAACTCCATGACTTGGTTAATTACAATATAGCACAGATAATGTTTAGAGCTAGAAATAATCTATTTCCAATCAATATTCAAGAGAGATGGAGGCTACAATCTGAATGGGAATAAGGTTTTTAAAAGATTTTTAAATAAGATTTGTGTGTCTGTGTGTAGGGCTCAATTGTGGAATGGGTTAGGGGCTAATAGGGGATAATGTTGACGCGCCCGCTGTTCAAAACATAAGTCAAAGTTCCAGATTAAAAACTTCTTTATTTGTTATCAAATCCTTAAAATCTGTAGAAAAACAGTGATCAAAATAAACATTCTAAGCTTGAGCGGTGAGCAAAAGTCAACTTCCCCCATCACCCACTCATTCACAAAAATTCCCTCGGGCTGTGAACAGGTGATATAGCAATCACTATTACTATTACCGACACCACATGACCCAAAGCTACGCCTATCCACAACAAGTTGTTTTCGATATAGATATGTCCAAAAAACACAGACTAACAAATAACGCAGTTCTTAAAGATGACGGCGAGTCCACCACCAACAAAGGAGCACTATTTTGGACAGAGCTCAGTCAGATGATTTAATTCCAAATTGTGCTGCCAAGTCTTTGTTACGAAGTCCAAATTCTCTTGACTGAAGACATCACTGAGAAGAATGAAATTAATAGAGCGAGCACTGGGGAGGGCCATCCTGATGGCAAACGTGTGTCAGCAATCTCACAAACCGAATCGACAGGTGCCCGTGCAGATGTCATACCATCATAATCCACAGATTACACAGGTTAAGGGTTGATGACCTGACAGAGCCTCCCACAGACCACCAGGACACAGAAAAACCACACAGATTTCTGAGTCTGACTACACCTTGCCTCCAAAGTTGTCTCAACTACTGTATGTTTCTTTGGACTGGGATTATCTCAGTCCCCAACCAGCAACAGATACAGGGGTTCAGCTTGGAGCATTCACCATGCACTTAGATCAGGTCAGTGGGCTGCAGCACTCCACAAAAACTCTTGAAGAATGGCTTGATGTGCAAAGACTTCTATGTGAGAGTCAAAGCTGCCTGATTTTAGTGCCACAGACTTTTTAGAAACCAATGAGAGACACTCTTCTTCTTCTTCTTCTGGTTGCTCCCTTTAGGGATCACCATGGCGGATCTGCCTATCTCACTAACAGCCTTCCTTCACTACATCCATAAACCTCCTCTGAGGTCTTCCTCTTTTCCTTCGGCCGCTTTTGTCCAATATATCCACTCTCTATTCTGTCTTGTTTCTAATGACTTTTATTTCTCTCATCTCCAGGGCATACCTCCACCTACTACCTACCACTCCTGACTTCCTCATCTGTAGTGCTCCTTCTCAGCATGAAGCTATACTGCTGCTCAATAGTCACCTCTCTTCTTAAAATAACGGCTCTTTCCTACACTGCATGCTCCTATCCATGCTCTAAATCCTTCCCTACTCAGCTCAATCCTCCAATGGGTCCATAAGTTACAAACTGAACACCATGTTGTATTTGATAAGACCTGGAAGTGGAGACTGAGACCATAAACTCATTAGGAAAGTATTAACTGAGGTGAGAGATAAGTTGTGTAATAGGCTCATTTTCTCATAGACTTCCATACAATCGGACCCCAGATGTCGCCCCCATAGGGCATCAAGAAGATTGCAGGTTGAATGCACTTCAACAGTGGCTACATCAAAGACCTGCTGTTGGAGAATGTCGTTTTTAATTGATTACCTGAACAACAATATTTCTGCTGTGGAGTTAATTGTACTAGCAGACCATTCAAGAAGTCTGTGAATGAAATTCTTGGATTCTACTTGGACTCAGAACTAATGACCAGGTGTCTGTCTGTGTCTGTGTAATGCTCCTCACGCTATGGATGCAGTCCAGAAATCAGTCTTCTATATACAATCAATTATTTTCGTTCTAAAACAAAGTAAATCAAATACTTTAAAATACTGCAGTGGGAAATGTAAGATCAAACGAGCGGCTCTGGATACTTCCTGGAGCGACTGCCATTAAGTCATCAGGAGGTTCAAACAGCTGAGTAACCACAGGTAGAAGCGATCACACTGACCATGAAAACTTTCCCCCCAACTTTGATAAACCATAATATTCTCATACAGAAGTGTGTTAGTGTTTTCACCTCATATATAAACACTGGCCCTGCTATGATGTCACAGGTGAGGCCTTCAGTCACATGACTGACCTCTGAGCTGGACCTGCAAGCTCAGATTGAACATAGGATCAGTGACACAGGCATTAAATGTGGTCCCCCTCACCCCCAGCTGTGAATCTGTTCTTCCAGTTCTCCCAGTTTGTACTCACTGGCTGGTGTGAAGTTCCTCGGCTGGTCGCAGCGTTGTTGGTGGTGTGGCGACTGAGCGACAGTTTCCTGCATGCAGGGCAAAGTCTGCTCTGCTCCCTCCCTCCCTACACACACGTGCGCACACACACTGACACCTACACACACACGCAAGCCCGTTCAGCTATCTTAGTGAGGACATTGACATAATGCTTTTCCTAGCCCCTTACCCTAACCCTAACCATTAAAAATGAAATCCTAACCCTAACCCTAACCCTTACCATCAAGTGATCTTTTGCTTTTAGCTGTACCAAGGTCGAGGCTGGTTCATAGAGGTGATCGAGCATTTGCAGTCGTAGCACCTAAGCTGTGGAATAATTTACCCCTACACATCAGACAGGCTCATACTGTCAATCTTTTTAAATCTCATCTTAAAACGCATTTTTATTTACTGGCTTTTAATAGGGCATGAGAGTTGTTTGTTAATTCATATTTGGTGTTTGCTTTGAATACTCTAAGTTGTTTTATTATGTATGTTGTATTCTTGTACAGCACTTTGGTCAACGCTCCTGTTGTAATTATTGTGCTATATAAATAATTAAACTATTAAACTACCATGAAGCTAACCATAACCTAATTGTAATCCTGACACTAAAACCACATTTTGAGCCTCAAACAGGCCTTCAAATTTGTGAGGACCAGTGTGTGTGACTGTTGGCTCTCACAAGACAGCTAGACAGGAACACACACACACACACACACACACACACACACACACACACACACACACACACACACACACAGACTGTAATAACAGAGAGAGAGAGAGTGTGTGTGTGAGGAAAACTTTGAAAGCACGCACACGCAAAAGTCCATATTAATTATTGACGTGCTTTTATGACAACGTTACCATGGAGTCCAGGTAGGAAAATAAGCCAGCTGGACTTTTACCCTCCTAACACACACCGAAGACAGAGTGACTAATGTTCAGACTTTACATTTAAATACTCTCTCTCTTTTTGTGTTACAGCAAATGTGTGTGTGTGTGTGTGTGTGTGTGTGTGACAGAGAGAGAAGGTGATTAGGTCTTAATGTGGTCCTGATTCCACCTGTTACGGTGGCCCTGAGAGGCCAAACGGACTGCAACTTCAGAAAACACTTGCAAAAAGAAAAATGCTGCAAAAACAAAAACACCTGCAAAAGAAAAACACCTGCAAAAAGAAAAACACCTGCAAAAGAAAAACACCTGCAAAAAGAAAAATGCTGCAAAAAGAAAAACACCTGCAAAAAGAAAAACACCTGCAAAAGAAAAACACCTGCAAAAAGAAAAACCCCTGCAAAAGAAAATTGCTGCAAAAACAAAAACACCTGCAAAAGAAAAACACCTGCAAAAACAAAAACACCTGCAAAAGAAAAACACCTGCAAAAACAAAAACACCTGCAAAAGAAAAACACCTGCAAAAACAAAAACACCTGCAAAAGAAAAACACCTGCAAAAAGAAAAACACCTGCAAAAAGAAAATTGCTGCAAAAACAAAAACACTTGCAAAAGAAAAACACCTGCAAAAACAAAAACACCTGCAAAAGAAAAACACCTGCAAAAAGAAAAACACCTGCAAAAAGAAAAATGCTGCAAAAACAAAAACACCTGCAAAAGAAAAACACCTGCAAAAAGAAAATTGCTGCAAAAACAAAAACACCTGCAAAAGAAAAACACCTGCAAAAACAAAAACCCCTGCAAAAGAAAAACCCCTGCAAAAAGAAAAACACCTGCAAAAGAAAAACACCTGCAAAAAGAAAAACACTTGCAAAAACAAAAACACCTGCAAAAAGAAAAATGCTGCAAAAACAAAAACACCTGCAAAAGAAAAACACCTGCAAGAGATGCTGAGAAAGGAGAAAGAAAGGGATCTACAACAGGCAGCCCAGGGAAGCAGTTATCTGCTCTCCTGGATGAAAGCAAAGGAAAATGAAGATGAAAGGTAAGAGTCAAGGGCAGAGTCAGGTTCTATTTTAATGTTTTAATGTAACCTGCTCCTTGCAGTTAATTCTATTGAAAAATCTTAAAAGCTGTTCACACTTAGTTTTTAATGAACTTAATCAGCAGGCATTGAGCTAACTATTATTTTGTACCTACAAAAGTTATTTCTATTTTACAAGACTTGCAGTATGGGTTATTATTAAAACTATCTGTTTAAGCTTATTATTATGATAAATAATAATACTATTATTATTATTATTGTTCCATTGTAGTCAGTCACAGCAGGGAAGCAGCTCTATGCCATCTACCAGCATAGCAGAAGAGGGAGATATAGAAACAGATGAAGCCGCGACCAATGCAGCAACAGGTTCAGTTAGGCCTACAGACACTGATGTAGTGCTCTCTGAAGACCACAATGAGGAAGAACAGATCGATCACATAATGTCAAAGTTAGCAGCTTTACAATACCCAACAGATCCAACACACATCCATACATTTAAAATAAAGCGCAATGACAGATACGTTTCAATGTGCTGCCATTTTGATGCTCCTTGATGACATCAGTGACAGTGACCCACCTAACCTGGCCCAAGGTGATGCTCAGATGTACAGAAATGCCATTAATTTTATGTTCATTCTCTGCATGGAAATCACCACACCAGTATTCGAAGTCACTGCTTTGGCATCAGATTCTCTGCAGGAAGAAGGGTTGGACCATTCCACTGCCTACAAGGTAATTGATGGTGTGCTTCACACATTGCAAACCATGAGGTCTGAGGAGAAATTTGGAGAGATATTTAGATGTGCATCAAAGAAGGCAGAGAGTTTCAACATTCCAGTACCTACCGTGGTGCCTGGTCAGGAGAGAAAGCGGAAAGTTCCAGTGTGTTTCCAACACAGCACCACAGTGTCTCAAGTAGGTGCTCAGGTTGAGTCAGTGGAGGCATATTTCAGGAGTGGTGTATATTTCACCTTTCTGGACATCATGACTGGGGAACTGAACAGGAGGTTCAAAGGGGACAATACTGGAAGCCCAACGGCCAGAATCATTCAGTCCTTCCAGCCCTTAACTGTGCATGCTAACTGGGTAGGCCCACCAAACCCAGAAGCCATTGAAGCTGTCCACATCCTCTGTGAATTCTATGGAGAAGATGAGGACCAGCTCAAAACAGAATTAAAGGTCTTCCACTCCAGCTTTAGTTCAAAAGACCTCAGAGAAATATTTCTGATACTGAGGGAAAACAATGGCCAGCTGATCTTTCCTGCCTTTGTCAAAATGATTCAGATCTACGCAACACTACCAGTGACAACTGCGACAGTTGAAAGATCCTTTTCAAAGCTAAAAATAATCAAAAATAAACTAAGAAGTTTGTGTGGAGAAGAAAGGTTGTCTGATCTCCTCTTGTTGGCCATTGAGAAAGATGTGGAGATCAATTACAACGAGGTCATCAACATCTACAAAGACATGGCACCAAGAAGGATGCTTCTTTAGAGCAGTACACTCCATTTAATGGACACTTGAGAATATGTATGTATATAGTTTAGAGTTGGATACAGATTTTATCTTTTTGTGGTGTGATTTTTGATTTTTAGAGAATGTTTTGAAATAAAAGTCAAATTGCATTTAACCTGTGCGATTTTTTTATTATAAAAAGAAAAGGTTTTCCACATATGCAAAAGGTGCCCTTTTTTCCCTCTGGAGCACTTGCCCCCCAAAATGTCTGTGCACGCCACTGCACACTGCTGCACATCATCTGTGAGGCTTTGCACCCCTGATGATCCACCAGGATAAACTCAACAGTGTGTGAGGAAGAGGAGGAGGAAGAGCCATCAGCAGCTGACAGATGGAGAGAATAGACAGACTGTTCCCTGTTTGTGAAGGACTGCTAGGAAAGTTTATTAACATAACTGTCTGTCCTGAATCAGTCTTATTAGGTAATGTTCAAATAATGTGATCATCCCAGTGTTTTCAGTGTGGGAGAAAGTACTCAGGGCCTTCAAGTTACACACTATGAAAGGCAGCAACAAGTTTAATCTTCAGAAACCTAAAGTATGTATCAGCAGCAGAATGGAGCTAAAAATAAATGTTTGTTTCAGTTCTATGAAGCTTTGAGTATTTTGGATCAGTAGCACTGCTGTGTTTGTTGCATCATATTGCTGTAATTGTTTATATGCTTTATATATTCTGAGGTAAGTTGATCTATAGTGTTACATCATATTCTATAAGGATGTTATGTGTTTGTAGACTTTCTGCCCAGTTTGACCCATTTAGCAGAAGTCAGCCTGTTTAAGGCTCTGATATCTATTCTGTATGACTTAAAGCAGTTATGACATGGTGTGATTTTCTCACCCAATAAAGGAATATTTTATATATCAGTCTACTCCTCATTCTATCAGACACAGTTATCACAGCTCGTACATTTGCTTTTTACACATATATGTAAGCATTGAGCCAAATTTAGTAATACCAACATACTGAAGGAACAACATTTGTCTCTTATATATAATACATCTATATATGCACTGTCAAAGATACTTGTCTTTGAGTGAAGATTAAGGTGATAGGAAATATAAATAACTGCAACTTGAATCTTTGACCCAGAGTTCAAGCTCACTGCTGTAATATATCCTGTAATATCTATCTATCTATCTATCTATCTATCTATCTATCTATCTATCTATCTATCTATCTATCTATCTATCTATCTATCTATCTATCTATCTATCTATCTATCTATCTATCTATCTATCTATCTATCTATCCATCCATCCATCCATCCATCCATCCATCCATCCATCCATCCATCGGTCCCTCATCCTATTCGTGTAGTCCCTTCCGCCAGGGTTACTTGCGTAGTAAGTAACCCTGGCCAATATCAGGAAGAAGGAACACGAGAAGCTGGAGAAATACCAAGGGCTCAGAGAAGAGCTCGAGAGGATGTGGAGGGTGAAGGTAACGGTGGTCCCCGTGGTAATCGGAGCACTAGGTGCGGTGACTCCCAAGCTAGGCGAGTGGCTCCAGCAGATCCCGGGAACAACATCGGAGATCTCTGTCCAGAAGAGCGCAGTCCTGGGAACAGCTAAGATACTGCGCAGGGCCCTCAAGC